ACCCATTGATGCGTTCAACAATTAAGAATTTATATTTTTGGTATAAATTCAAGCTTCGTGTTTTTGGCATAACTTCTTGGCATTTCTTCCATAACGGTATCTGTCTCGAGATCTCTATGAAAATTTGTATTCCGAATATACCAGGGAGCATCCACGATATTTCGGAGAACTTAATTTTGAAGTCTCTGAACGATATCCACGTAACCCCAAAGTTGTACAACATAAGTACATACAGGTTTTAAGACTTGCTTGTAGATGAGCAATACTGATTATTTTGATCTTCTGCCAATTAACCAGTAAATTTTTTTTATATTTCACGTTTAACTTCTTTCTTTTCTTCTTGGTGTGCTTGCTTTTTTCATTTAAGCTTTGCATTTAAATTTAAGGTATGTTATTTGACATTTCGATGTCAGTTGGCCGCTGGTTAACATTCAAAATTAACTTGATGTTGCCGACCTCCACGTTTTTTCGAAACCCTATGAAGACGGACAGGACAACCTATGCTTACCTTCTCCAATAGGCTTTGAAAGAGGTGGAGGCCTAAACACCAAACAATAACAATGCTTTGAAAAAGCACTCAAACACTTATCCACAGCACAATAAACAATGCCTATAAGAAATCCTGCCCCCTGAGGCTGGTCCAACACGATCAGATGACTATTACATGGTGGTGTCACGAGTTGGATCACCTCAGGTAGATGGCTAGGGCATCTTTTAATAGGGCAAGAACCACAAACCTCAAAGAGAACTGGGATACTTACAAATCTTAGAGAAAATAAAAAAAATTGTAAGACAAAAACAGAGAGATGCATGGAGATCCTATTGCGAAGAAATCGAAGATTTCCCGCAGGCAGTGATGCTTCAAAAAGCTCTCTCAAAAGATCCACACCGTAGTATTGGTGCCCTTATCAAAGAGGATGGCATGAAAACTGCAAACCTCGAAGATAGCATCAAGTTTCTGCTGTCAACACACTTCCCTGACTCGGGTGATGTGGCCGGCTGGGCAGAGGAAGAATACAACCCATCTATCTACGATTGGCAAACTGCCAAACACATTATGGACGATGACAAAATTAGATGGGCAATATCTAGCTTCTCTCCATTTAAATCGCCAGGACCTGCCGGTATATTTCCAGCCCTACTTCAACGGGATCTGGAAAAACTCACACCACATCTGGTAGTTATATTCAGATCCTCGTTGGCTCTAAGATATATCCCTTAAAAATAAAGACAGTTAAAAGTATTCTTTATACCCAAACCTGGAAGGATGGTTTACATCGTCCTAAAAACATACCGACCAATCGTTTTCCATGAAGACAGAGTAATGGCTATGTGAAAGGTATACAAGGGATGTGATGATTACAACACCACTACACCCAAATTAACATGCATCCACCCCGAGCAGATCTACTGATTTAGCCCTTTACCTAGTTGCTGGCCGTATAAAGAGATTACTGGATAATAAAGAGTCTGCCTTGGATGTTTTCATTGACATTTTCCCAAGAGAATACACTCACTAAACAACAGGAAGTTCCACAGATGGTTAGTAGGTGGATACACAACATGCTCTCAAAGTGAGCAGTAGAAATAGATATATAAGAGGCTTGGTTGCAAGGGGATGTCCACAGGGAGGGTTGCTATCACCTCTACTGTGGAACATGGTCTTCGACACTCTCATCAGCCGCCTCAATAATGACCGTCTATACTCTATACTCTACGAAAGAATGCAAGTAGCTCTTAAAATTATAGAATAGTGGTGTAAGGACCATTCACTATCTATCAATGCCAAGAAGACAGAAATTGTCATTCTCACAAGGAAAACGATGAAAATGGAATTAAAATCTCCAGAACACCTGAACACAAAGCTAAACTTTGCAATAGAGGCAAAGTACCTAGGTCTTACCTTTGACAGCAAGTTAACATGGAACTCATACTTAGAGTCAAAACAGCATACATTGCTTATGAAAGATACCGAAGAACCGTGGGGCGCACCTGGGGTTTCTCCCCCAGGGTCGTCGCATGGACTTACCTGGCCATCATAAGACCTATGCTAACATAAGGTGCAGGTGTCTGGGTACCGATAACCCAAAAATTGACAGCTTTCCGCAAACTAGAACAAATTCAAAGAACAACATGTTTTAATATAACAGGATCCATGAAAACCACACCGACCAGAACCATGGAAGTAATTCTTAGTCTCACTTCCCTTGATATTTACATCTTTTTTTATACAAAAAAGGAAGCACTACTGTGCTGATACTTTGTTTAAGAGCCTGGCCTAAATCTGTAGACCTAATTATCAACTATGTTTATTTTAAAACAACTACGGCATGGAACACTATTGCGCAAGTACGACTTTCTCTTGACCAAATTTTTTATTAATTTTATTCTATTTTTTAGAGATTTTAAACATTTATTATTTATAAACAAGACTTTTGGGTTCTCCAGATTAAATCATCGGCTCCCTTTATCACTTTTTAGGCCTACGCGTACTTCTTCCTTCTGAGTTTCTCTATCCTATATTTTTACTTTTCTTGCATCTTATATTCTTTCTAGGTTTCCAAACCTACTCTATATTTTTCTCTAAACGTCTTACACAAAATATTCATCTAGATTTCGTTATCTCTGTCATAGTTCAGATCTCGCTGCAGTTTAATATTCCGTGAGATATATTTTCTTTGATATTATATTTCTTTATTTCCCTTAAATACCCTTTACTTTTTGCTATCTTAGGTTTACATCTACTTTTTCATTACATTTATTGTTGTTCAAAACTTCTAAGTGACTGTAATCTTTGTAGTCCTACTTGATTTGTTATATTTATCAGATTACTTTAAACATTCTTCAGTAGTACATCATCCACATAATGAAAATTGTTCCCCTTCTTTTTATCCCGCCATTTCTAATTCTAATTGCCACTTTCAAAGCAAGATTAAACACTTACATCACCCTTTTGTTCACCTTAAAACTATCTGTTGTTCTTCCGTTTACCAATATGCAATTTAACACACCAACGGCTTTACAATTATCTGCTACTGAAACTTTTTCTGTATTATCCGAAGATACCAATCTGCAATACCTGCACCACTACACCTGCTGCCCCCAAAACGTCCCCGGTACATATATTCTACCTTCGTGAACGTTAATAGAAAGATTGACAAAATATTATTCTGTTATGTTCGTAGAAATTCCCGTTTATTTAATTCAAATACATTAAATGAAAAAATTGCTTGAGCTCAACAGAAGCTTTATGACAAACTTGATTTTATATAGATTTGAAAATGTGTATAGCAATGTTGGCAGTAAAAAAAATATTCTCTATATTCGGACATGATATATACGGGGTCTAAACTTCGAGTTTTTATATATTGTTATCTCACTTAAATATATAGATGGAAGGTCGGTTAAATGGGGAATCATTTAGAGAATTTGATGATGACCTCGACTCGCGTCGGATCCATTTTTAAAATTATTGAAAACTATGTAATTTTTGAGTTATTTCACAAAAACTAAACCGTTAATTTGATATATTCCAAAGTATTACATCCTTGAGACACTTCTTTACCTACCGTAACTTTGTTTGACATTTTGCATATCATTTCCCTCTAAATTACTTTTTAAACGATGGATCACATGTTACCCAATTTTTAAGAAATACTCTTAAATTGAAAAAAAATTCCTTAATTTGGCAACACCGCATCCATCTAAAATAACATATAGTATACGAAAGTATATTTGTTTAATACCGGATAATTAAATAGTTTAGGCCTCGGTAATACATAAATTTGACAATGCCGCAATAAAAATGAAAAATGTTAATAAAATGCAAATAAATCTATAAATTCAATTTTATGTTCATACAGGAGCTTTGCCATGACTATTTCAATACTGTGTTAGTGCGACAACATGTCTCACGAATCTGCCAAAAGAACACTTGCATACAGAGGAGTAGATGGCACTACATCAATCTTAAAATTCCAGAAATAATGAGCTATTCAGTGTATATCAACATGTGTCGTGTTACACGTGACTAAAGATTTAAGCTATAAGACATTGAAATATGTAATGAAAACACGTGCTATACTAGCATGATTAACACATTCAGTGCCAAAGTATTTTCCGCAGTATGTCTTCTTAGGCTAAGCACTCTTGTTGGTAAAGATAATAGCTGTCTGGCAATCCACGGCGGTCATTAATCACCTATATTAACCTGTTCCATTTGTCATAATCTATTATCTCTAATAACTATCTCGAAGATTTGACCACTTTAAAAAATAATCGCTACGCCATTGACGTAAATAAGTGTGATAAAAGTTTTCGTTTGGTTTCAAAATAAACTCAAATATTGATATCAGGGACATGACAACATATAGGTAATAGTAATAAGTCAAAAAAAAACATTTCATATTGCGTGCTAGGAGATCTGACTAATACAAATGACGCATTTGCTATAATTATAAAGAAACCTGGCATAACCCACAGTGGCGTTATTAGGTTATTACTAGTACAACAACATATTTATATCACTAATTACAATTAACTTTTTTTGTTAAATTGTTGGCATTTATGTATTCAATTAAATTTGAAATATAATACAAAACTAATAATCTAAACCTCTTACACTTCAAATTCAACTAAAACACCCTAATCTCAACTCAAGATAATAGACCATGCCATTTAAAAATCACCCTGTAGCTCCATAACGGAACAATATATGATGAGACTAATCATATCATGTTTAGTTTATCAAAAAACGTTTCATTAGATTTATTTTATCTCTTGAAAATTCAGTGTTTGGATCACCCTCAAAAATTTGACAAAAATCCAAAATCTCTTGGTTTTTGATTTCCTTGGTTTTATTTAATTTTTCATGCTTTTGAAAAAATCACACGATTTTTAAATTTTCCCGGGTACTGGTACGATTGGAATATTCTGTGTAGAGCGTCAAATAACCTAAATCCATCACTGGATAGAAAATTTAACGAACAGTAGGTACTTACCCTTTGATCATCTGCAGACTTTTTTGTACCACTTTTCCGAAATACTGATAGAAAAAACATTTTCACCCATACCTCATCTGTCTATACATTTAAAATACTGTCACTCACTAGCAAACGAACAAAAACAAAAATTGTTAAATTTTTTTGAAAATTTTGAATAGATTGAGTAAGAAGTAAGATTTAAAATTTTGTAGAAAAAGAGTGGCACCTTTTCAATGATATGCCTTACTTCAAACTGTCTTATGCGCAATTGTCAAGCAATAGCCTGTTATTACGGTCATTATACTATTACGCCCTCAGTACTGTTTAAATGCGTAAAAATGGCCCCTGAATTCGCTAGAGATGAAACCTTGGTTCACTATTTCCCACTAGTGGTCGAATACAGTGATCTTCCCGCAGATCTTTCCTTCCGTGAATAGGTCGGTAAACGAAGAAAAAAATAGTTTACTGACATACTTAAATACTCTAAGCAGTGGCGGTGCAGTTTGCGAAAATTTTTTTCATTTCTACTTTTTTGTAGTTTTCCGAATGTTAAATAAAAAATCAGTATGAACGTCATTTTTCTCTTTCCTATACCTTCTCTCTTCTAGTCCTTTTGTTCTGTTTCTATACTATCAAAAATAAATTCTGTGTCTGTAATTAAAATATTTGTTTCCTGTACAATAATTATTCCTATTTGCCAAAATGTGGATAATAACAGGAACCATACGAAACACCTACTTTACTGCTTTACAAAAAATGTCAAGTAATTGTTACACTTTTTTGCAAATATAACAGAAAGTTTTGGTAATAAATAAGAAAAATAGTTGATGCTATAACGAATTATTTTGTTTAATATAATTATATTAACTAATTTCTTTTTATTTGTTTTAAAATTTCATTTAATAATTATAACAATGTTTCTGTAACTGATATTTACGTATACCTAACTTCTTTTATTATAACATTTCATTTTGTTGTATTTACAAATTTCTTTTTGTGTTACTAACGTTTATTTTTATTTATTCTAAACGGCTTAAGTTTTCTGAATAAGATATAGGATATTTTACTGTTGTATTACCTCACAAACTTGAAGTGGTTTTTTGGACTTTAATTTTAGATTTAGTTCTGGTTTCTGATTTCTGATTTCTACTGTTCAAGTCTTCCTCTAAAAAGGCGTTTACAAGCATAGGTCAAAACTGTGTTGGCATGTTTCTTTCGTTTAGAGTTTGTAAAAGCCTTCTTATACATTTTGTAAGATACTAATGAAGCTGTTTTCCCTACCATTTTGTTTTTCTTGAGTTCACTAGCAAGGCCGGCCCTAGACATTTGGGCACTCCGGACAAAACCTTAATTTACTGTGAGTATTTAGCAAATTATATCTGGTTTTCCAAGGCATTTATTGCTTGATCTACAGTGTGAAAAAAAAATCTTTTTATATTTTTGTTTGAGGTCTTGAACGGGTTCATCCGGGCCCTCATACAAATACGTTCTTGTTTTGCTTCTGACACGATGACGTGGTGTGGTGGTTTCGAAATTAGCTTCCACGTCAATCTCTGAAGCAAGCTCGGTTGCTTCTAAAATGATGCTTTCAAAAGCTTCATCTGATCTCAGGTTTTCAAAGAAGTTAATAAAAGTTGCTAAGCATATCAAAATTTACAGTTTGCAAAAGTTTGCTGATGGAGTTAATATGACTCAAAATGTTGTACCAGATCACAACAGAGCATATAAATTTGAACTGCTTCAAATTATTTAATAATCCACTAGCCTTGTCTCTGATCATATTATCGATTTCTGAATCTTCATATATGCTGTACAAAGCATCGTGAATTGGACCAATTTGAAACCGCAGAGCTTTTAATGAGTCGACTCGACTTTCCCATCGCGTATCACTCAATGGTTTTAGGGTGTAAGTATCAATATATTTTAGTAATATTGCCCAACGAAAAGAAGAGGAAGAAAAAAATGTATATAACTTTTGAACAATATTGAAGAAGTTGGCTGCCTCAAACGAGGATTTTGCCATATCGTTTACAACCAAATTTAGCGAATGGCTGCTGTTTTCTACTTTAAGCCTGTTTTTCTCTAGCTCTTGTAGTAAAAACTCCGACAATTCCTTAGCTGTTGATCTCTCAATGGGTAGAAAACTCAAAAAATGTTCGTTGATATTAACTTGAACTTCAGACTCTGATTCCTGTATGGAGACAAATCTTACCATAAATGTCATCTGTTCTACTTTACTTGCATCATGAGTACAGTCAAGAATCACGGAATAATACTTGGCCTTTTGAACTTGCTCAATGATGTGGTGCTTTATGTTGTCATGCAATAATTCAATTATTTCATTTTGTATAGTTTTCCCTAGATATGTAGCTTTGATTTCTTCTTTATTGAGGACTCTGCGAACGTGTTCCTTCATTCTTGAATCAAACTCAGCCAATAACTGAATTAACTTCAAAAAGTTTCCATTATTGTGTTCATACAGTTTATCGCTTGTTCCTCGAAAAGCTAAAGAGCTTTCACCTAGCATTTTAACGACTGATATAATGCGTAAAAGAACTTCAGACCAGTGATTTATCTCAGAATCAATGAGTCTCTGAGAAACTGCATCTATTGTTTCACCTATTTTCAATCTTTGCTTCAATTCAAGCCATGTTTTCAAATAATCTATATGAGTTTTAGCATTTTCATGATGTGCTAAAGAGTCCCCTAAATGCTTCCAGTCTTTAAATCCCCGATTGCCAAGAACGCTCAAGCTAGATGGTGCACCAAAAAGTCGACATGGAAAACAGTACAAAGCATTTTGAAATACGGAATATACCATCCATTCTCTTAAAACCTCTTCTCCATTTCTAGCCTTTTCTTGTAATGTTTTGGTGAAAATCTTCTATGCTGATCATCAAAAGGAGAATCAAAATTATACAAAGGTGCAGCTGGACCACGTTTAGCCAAAAAAACTCTATCTGCTGCACGCATGATTTCGGGCCATAATCCTGGGTCAGAAGAGATACTTTGGACGGTAGCCTATTCTAAATGTTTCTCTGAAATCTGCACAACTTACGAATTTTGATTTTTGGAACTGTACGGAACTGCATCACTACTCGCCAAACTCGTTTGAGATGACTTACCCAGCTCAGTAATGCTGACGGTTGCGTCCAAAGGGGGGTCCATATCCGGAAAGTCAGTATCTAGGTGCTGGGCATTGTTCAAATGTTGGTCGGTTGTGGGAGCGTTGAAACTACCTTCTTTTTAGAAGTTCTGCAGCGCATCTGACTGTTTTTGAAGCTGCGTTTGCTTGTTCAATCTCCGCTTTTTAAATTCGCTCGCAGAGGGTTTTCTCTTAGCATCGGACATTTTGGTTTCTGGAACAAATTAATTAAAATAAAAGGTATTACTGATATCAAAAAAAGCCATGATTTGATTTAAATTAAAATTTCTGAAATCCCCCTTGTGCGCCACTGGCTTAAAAAAATGTATTTTATTCAACTTCAGACTCAATTACCTTTCATTCGATACCACACAAGCCATGATTTGATTTAAACTCTAATTTTCGAAATCCCTCCCCCTTATGCGTCACTGACATAAAAAAATGTATTTCATTCAACTTCAGACTCAATTACCTTTCATTTGATACCACACAAGCCATTTTTTGATATAAACGCTAATTTTTGAAATCCCCCTCGTGCGCCACTGGCTTAAAAAAATAAAATGCATTTTATTCAACTCCAGACTCAATTACCTTTCATTTGATACCACACAAGTCATTTTTTGATGTAAAATATAATTTTTGAAATCCCCCCTTGTGCGTCACTGGCTTAAAAAAATAAAATGCATTTTATTCAACTCCAGACTCAATTACCTTTCATTTGATACCACACAAGCCATGTTTTGATCTAAACTCTAATTTTTGAAATCTACCCCCCTACCTTTTTTGGGCTTATGTCTGATGGATTTTTTTTAGTTTTTAAAAATGAAAACAAAAATTAAAACACTTACCTTTACAGAAGCCAAACGCACTGGACAAAATAATGCATTGTTTTAAGTCTACTTCCTTTTTATATGCAGTTAAAAAGGGCTGTTAGATCTTGTTTTGCTTGGTTTCAAAATTGTTGTTTCCTGTACAGTCGTGTTGCCACGGGCCGAAAAACTTGTCAATTCTTGAAAGGCGGTGGTTGAGTGGTTTTGTCATTTTGTATTGAATTCAACTAGATTTTGCCTTAATGTTTAAATATATTATATTATTTGAATTATGTGCTTAGAAATAAAAATCTGATGTGTCCAACACACGACTTTCCTATCTAGTTATTATAGGCTTTTTCCGGTTATTTTGTACAACCTATTGCAGCACCTCTATAAATGTTTAGAGGATAAACTAAATATATACATTTTCCACATACATCTAACTCGAAACATTTTTCTATAGATATTGAAAACGAAAATACTGAAAAATTTAAATTTAGCACTTTTCCTTAAAATTTTCCAATATGGTCCATTTTAGAAAAATCATATAAAAAACAAAAATTATAGAGATCGATATCACAAATAACTTTTATTTAAACAATTTTCCTAAAAATTTGAATTTTATTACATTTTGTCAAATTTGTCGAATACGGACCATTTTAAAAAAAATTGTATGGAACCAAAATTATAGATAATAATATTGTAAGTAATTTTTATCTGAACAATTTTCTTCTCCAAACATCAATAATAGATATATTCCATAAAATATAAAAACGGCCTCCCATAAAGTACCCCCCCAAATGTTCCGCCTTCGTCCAAAATCTAATCATTTCACCTCAGGCCGAAATAAAACTTAAGTTTAAAATTTTTTCCTTTATCCGTTTTTGAGTTTTCTTCAAAATTCGAAATTTACACATTTTCTCAAATATCTTGAATACGGTCCATTTTAGAGAAATTATGTATGTATGGAATTATAGAGAATTATATTACAAACAACTTTTATTTGAACAATTTTTATAAAAAAATAATTTTTTTACATTTTGTCAAATTTCTCGAATACGGACCATTTTACGAAAATTTTGTATAAAACAAAAATTATAGATAATAATATTATAAGTAACTTTTATTTGAAGAATTTTCTTCTTTAAACGTAAATAACGGATATATTTCATAAAATATAAAAATGACAACTTATAAAGTACCCCCCAAATGTTCCGACTCTGTCCAAAATCTAATCATTTCACCGCAGGATGGAATAATGCTTAAGTTTAAAATTTGGTGTTTTTCTTTCTATCGGTTCATGAGTTATGGTGGATACAGACACACACACTGACGCACACACACAGACACACAGACGCACAGACGCACACCCGCACACACACACAGACGCACACACACACGCACGCACGCACGCACGCACCCACACACACAGACATCATCACGAAAATAGTCAAAACGGATTCAGGGGACCCC